GCGTCGGGGGCGGCGGGAGCAACAGCAGCATCACGACTACACGTGCTGGGGCCCAGGGGTGGGTTGCTATGGTCAACACTCACCGAGTGCTCCTCAGAATCGGACGTTTGGGACCCAATGATTGGGCTGAAGTTGGCTGGAGAGAGAGGACCAAGTTTTTTCCTCATTGCTCGGATCTGAAGCAAGGCTCGGAATGCTGAACGGGGGAGGGGAAAACAGTTAATTTCTAATCTAATGTGCAGGAAACCCAAACTCACAGAAGAATGCCACTTGTTTTCATAGGCTGTTTTATTTCTTCTGTTCCACACTAGTCAAAGCCACACAAAACCCTCACGATGGAACTGAAGGTTTTTGCATTTATTCAGAGTTGGAGGGTTTTACACTGTACTGCAATTTCACATATGTAGTGTAAAACCTGCAAAATTTCAGGTTTTTCCACCTCACGAATATGGTTGGGTTTGCTGGAGAAAAATAAAAGACATGGCCATCACTCAGAATAGACCTATTTTCAAAGCAGGAACTACTGACATTTTAAAAATTCTGAATTTCAAAATTTCGGTCAAAGATTTTTACCCCAGAATTTACCCCCCAAAAGAGTTTACTTTGTGTATTTTTTAAATCAATGATAAAACCTCATTTCACAAAATTTGGGGAGGAAAGAACAATGCAGGTGCAAAATTGCTTAAAATGCAGTTCGGAGCCCTGTTGAAAGAATGATAGAAAAGGGTTTTGCATGGAGCTACTTCCAACCCCAGCCAGATGAAGATGTCTGTCAGTGCACTAGCGAGTCTCATAGACTCCACTTCTTCCTAGGTTCAAGCCCTTATTCCAGGCCAGGCAGCTCTAATTCACTAGCTAGAAGCAGCTGCCCTCATTCCCTAGGTCGGGAAAAGACCAGTGCCAGCCAATCCCAATGTCTTGTACTGAGAATCACTACGGGTATGTCTACACTACCCCGCTAGTTCGAACTAGCGGGGTAGTGTAGACATACCCATACAGATTAACTTCAAACTTAAACCACAAAGGATTAGGAAAACAGCCAGTCCACTTCTCACTGAGGAGAGCAGAACAAAATGTCTGGAGTTGCTATGCAACACCATTTTCCAGATGCGGCAAAAAACATGGAGTTTTTTTTTTAAAGATCCTTGACCTCTCTGCCAGGGCTGGCTCTAGATTTTTTGCTGCCCCAAGCAAAAAAATGTTTGGCCGCCCCCTCCCCCTTTTTTGTTAGCTTTTACACGTTTGCACTTTGCAATGTTTTGTTTTGTTATTTGACTGTTAAAAATTAAAAAAAAAAAATGAAAACAGAAAATGTGCAGTTAGTGAACTAAAA